GGGCCGTTAAATTTGCAGTCCAGCAAGTCGTTCGCTATCTCCATAGCGATATCTTTGGGATGTTCATTCTTGATTTAGGATCCAATTATTTCCACGTTACACGACAATTCTTTTGTTTCCAGTTCCTGGACTCTTTTCTCAAGATCATTCATTCTGGTACGCAGCCTTCCGTTCTCCTGTTTAACTTCTTTTAGCTCCTTAAGCGCATCTTTATTTTCCCGCGTAAGCACATCAAATTTTTCGCTCAAGAAGGACATGGATTCTTCCAACCTTTTCATGGTCTCCATTATATTTGGGGAAACCACAGGTGGGTCAGCGCTATTTTTGACACAGACTACGGCAGAGTCAGCATTTGAGTTTAATCTTCCCTGGTTTGATTTACGCAGAGTCACATTCTGTCTCTGTTTATTCTTCAATGGTTCCCGGTCTGAAGTACGAGGATAGGTTTCTTCCCGCTTATCCGAGCTACTGCCATCTTCAGAGCAATCAGAAGAACTACTTCTTTGACCTATTTTTGATAATCTGCGGTTGACCTTGCCTTTGCACGTTGTACAAAAATATGAAGTTTTTCCACTTTTTATACTTTCCAAATCGCTCTTCTCCAGCCCCGTGCATTTCAGTTGCATCCAGGTTCCACAGTCACCACTACATTTCACTTTATATCCACTCTTTCCAATTCTACTATTACAAAGCTTGCAACCCAAAGACGCCATGTCCACCGACTCCTTTACTCTCAAAAACTTGTAGTGTAGTGCAACAACCGGTGCAACAAAGTGTTGTTATTGAGCGACACAATAGGAACAAATTCCTGACCTGATAAGAGCGTCAATGTACCATGTAACTATGCACCAAGTCGACGACGGCTTGAAGCTTGAACAGACTTTGCTTGAACTGACGTTATTTTCGAAGAAACGGTGTTGCAGCCTTTGCACTACTCGATTACCAATTCTATTCCCATAAAGCAAATACTGTCTCAATGTCCCACCCTTCTCTACTAGGTACTAGGCATATTACTGATTGCCGATTACCGAATAAATTTTTGTCAAGTGAAAAGAAAAGCCGATTATTTAGTATGTGTTTATCTAATAAAGCTTTCACCACTTCCTAATTGTTAATCGAGTTGATAAGTGAATTTTGAATTAAAAAAATAGCAGACCAATTGTATTTTTTATAGTGGAGCTATATTTTCAATTATTTTCATTTTCAGAAGAAAAAAAATTCTTCTATTTTTGTATACATACATAAAAATACCACATAATGATCGCAAAAGCTTGGTAAATAAATAAATAATTCATTCATCAAAAGCTTATCGAACCATTGTTTGTCATTGTAGGGGCCGGGCCATTAAAATCTCAAGTTACATATTGTATGAGGATTTTGAAATGAGACCTTCACTCAGTAAATTTTAACTCTTAGAATGACTAGAGACAAAACAGTAAATCTCCCTTCTAGACAGGGATGTAAAATAACGGTTATTTATTTTGTGTGATAAGTGACAGTCGAGGTGACAGTCATTTTTCCATCATTTTTGTCATTTATAGTCATTTACCATCAATGTGTAAATGTAGAACATAACCAGTGTTGCCAGAGGTTTTCGATGACATTCCTTCAACTAATGCCCACTTGCACCAACCGCAACTTAAATTGGTCTTAGCTAAGTTAGGTCTTAATTTTAAGTTAGCCTTTAATTTAATTTACTTGCACTATAGACAAATTATGCCGACTTGGCAAAGTCGGACTTAATAATTTTTGGCGATGGCAACGTTGCGAAATCCTCAGTAAACAGACAGAGAGAGAGAGAAATTTGGATTCTTTGAAACAGTATTATAAGAATCAAAAAGAGGATCTACAGAAACAAAATGAGATATATGATAAATTTATAGGTTATTACGGGTTGAATTTTTTGTTAGAACCCATTAAGGGCCGGTTTCTCAATAGCGAGTCACCCCCGGGTTAAGCATTACTCCAGGGTAAACATAGCAACTCGACACGCTCACCCTGGAGTTAAAACCACTGGAGGTGACTCGCTATTGAGAAACCGGCCCTTAATGGGTTCTAACAAAAAAATTAATTTAAGAAAAAGATAAAAGTTGGCGAACTTCTTGTTAAGTTAGGTTATATCTTAAGCTAAGTGGAGCTGTATGAACGCCGTCGTTAGCCTGCATATTCCGAACTTCTTAGGTTAGGTTAGTTTAAATGTTAAGTTAGATTCAATTTTTTGTTAGAACCCACCTTTATATTATGTTAAGTCGAATTTAAGGCCTGGATTTTGGTGACTTAAGAAAATTCAATTTAAGGCTACTTTAAGTCTAGCTCGACTGCTGGTGCAACTAAAATTTAGAGTTAAGTCTCGGCTTAAAGATAAGTCCGACTTAAGTTAGTCTTAAAATGTTGGTGCAAGTGGCCATAAAGTGGCTAAAACTCTTCATATCCTTCAAAACAGTGGCGGGGGGCCGGCACAACGACATATTTTACCAAAAAGAAAAATAATAATGATAGGTCTGTTTCTGCAGAAATCACAAACCAGTCAGAGCGAATTTCATTGGTTAAAAACAGAAAACTAGTTTCAACCAATGAAATTCACTCTGACTGGTTTGTGATTTCTGCAGAAACAGACCTACTATAACATGAACGAAATTCTTTTAATAAAAATGAAAAAAAAAAAAAATAAACAAAATACTCATAGCTGGCCTAAGGCATACATACATTCTGATGCAGTGGCGTAGTGGAAATTGGCGTTTCGTATTTTTTCTCATGCAACTAATTAATTTATTTTAATAAAAATTAAATTTGTTGGTGAATTGATTGGAATATTTGCTAAATCTACAATTTGCCTCAAAATCCTTCAAATTCAGATAAAAACTTTCAATCCTTCAGTAGTCAAAATTTTAGATCAAAACCCTTCATATTGAAGGAAATTCTTCAATTCTGGCAACATAACATAACTTAAATCAATAATCAGATATCTGATTGGTCGACTAAAGTTCTTCCTCAGTTTCACAGTCATCAGCATCAAAGTCATCTAAAGAGTTAGAAAGTACACTTCCATCTCCTCCATAAGATTAACAGTAAAAATCGAAAGTCAGCTGATATTTTTGAGACAATCGGGCCTATGATGTATCATTTTCTGTTATTTTAACAGTAGCGTTAAGTTATCTGTCACTGTTTATTCTATACGTCAAAAAAGAGACGGAAATAGATGTTGAGCCTTAACAGAGCCGTTAAAATAACAGGACAGGATACATCATAGGCCTGAATGTCATATATTTCAATCAATGACGGTCATATATTTTTATGATGGTCAGTTATTCTTTTGACTGTCAGAAAATTTAATCGATAAAAAAATAAATGACAAGAGTGTCATAAAAATAAATGACATGACCGTCATTTTCATTTTGACTGTGACATGACATTGTCAAAAAAATTGGCTTACATCTCTACTTCTAGGAACTAGTAACTACAATTATTTACCCTTAAGGGGCGTTCTTACCAGGAGTTAAATAAACAAGATAACATATTTCGTTTTTAAAAATTTATTTGCGTGCTAAGAGTCGGTTTCTCAATAGCGAGTCACCTCCGGGTTGACTTTAACGCCAGGGTAAACGTGTACAGGGTGAGTCATTATATTTTGACACCCACCTGCAGCCGTAATTACAGGTGTAAATACAAAAGTTGTAGAATTTCATCTGAACCGCCAGAATTTTTAGTTGGATTGAAGAAATGAGCAACGGAAAGTGAAAAAATATGTCGATGTTTACTTTTTTTTTATGGAATCCACTTTATTTTCTTTCAAATTTTGGAAGTTCTCGTTAGGGCGTGTGGCGTGCTTGTTAATATTTCTTCTAATAGTTTTGGAAATATCTGGACTGGTACCTGAGCAAACATAGATACACTGATTATCTAACCATTTCCAAAATACCTACTGGTAAACTGAGGACCACGATTTCAATAACAAATTATTATGTATTTTCGGGGATAATACCACGAGAGCTTTGTGTTATTATAACAAGAAAATTAAATTCAGGAGAACATTATGTGTTCTTATGATTTTTAATAATTACATACTGTGTTGGACTTCTAAATTAACAAGTCAAAATATGTAAAAAAATTTTTTATATGATCCTATGTTTGCAAGGGAAAAAAATACAAATTTGTATAAGCTATACATACAGTTTCCAAGATAAGGATTGGATAGCTTTAGGATCTGGAGAACGGTTGGATTCAAAATTTGAAGATACCATGTTGTAGAGCGAAAAAAATGATAAAACTTTCAAATCAAATTTAAATTGTGTTTCGAAAATCAATAGTTTTCGAAATAAGTAATGCTTTATTAATACTTTATTAAGGTATAAATTTATTGAGTTAATAGGAAGGTTCGTCATTTTTTGTTATTCTTTTATTTAAACTGAAATCGAGAGATTTTGTTATTAAAAAACGATCAGAAAAAATTTGAGCGCAAAATATTAATATTTTGCGTTTGTTGCCAGCAGTTAAAAATCAAAGATCGGCGGCAGTACGCGAGACTAGGTTGCGTGACGTCAGTAGCCAGATTCGTCACGTGAATTTGTATTTCGTATACTCTCCGTATAGGCCTTTACGCAAACGCTGATCCGATTAACCCAACCACCACCTGATGATGTAATTTGTCTTTTTTCAATCGTGTTCATTGAAAAAAGATGAAAAAAAAACAGCTTGTGATCGGATCAGCGTTTCCGTAAAGTAAAGGCCTATACGGAACCTGGTTGGTGACATAAATCAGGCGATTTCAGTTGACCATTCAAAGGGCACCCCAGATGCGTCATCAAGTTACCCATTATCAACCTATCAAGTTTTAAGACTTGAACTTAAATCAGCTTGTGACAATGCACCAAATTTAAACCCTACTCAGTACTTATAAAATGTTAATTGATTAATTTGATCAATTAGAATCAGCTTATTACAATGCGCCATATTTGATTGAACCCTATTTGGTATAATGTTAATCACGTGAACATTTTTAGTTTTTCAAGAAGATAACTATGGCAGATCCAGGATTTCCAGGTCAACATACGACCACTACAACAGTGAAATCGTCAAATACTGCTGTAGATACTACAATAAGATTTGATTCCTCATATATCAGGACTGTACCTGGCTATCTGAAAATTGCTCAGATTGTAAGTAGTAAATCACTTTATTTCAAACATTGAAATATTATAATAACATTTTTAGGCTCTTAATTTACTTGGTTTCATTTGCATTGAAGCCAGTGGAGTCTTCTCCTACCATTCAAGAGGATCATGGTTTAACTTCGTTGCAATGACAGCCTTTTGGGTTACCGGCATTCTATTGGCTTTTTACTTGTTCCATATTATCGAACGGTTTTATAAAGTACCATGGCTCAAGTAAGTACATAGCTATTCTGCAAAAAAAAAAAAATACATTTTCTAGATTTAAGCTTTCAATCCAAAAGAAACAAAAGTTGGGCAGTAAACATAGTTATTTATGTACCAAGGTCGCAATTAGGGTCTAACACCATTTGTGCCTGTGGTACAGGGTCATTTTTTATATTTCTCCACCTCCCTTAACTTTTTTGTGCCACTGTGTATAAAAAAAAAATGTAAATGGGAAAGGTGTAGTGCTTGAGAAATAGTTCTGAGAAAACATAGTTTTGTTCATACAGGGTATTGCAGAAAGTTTAAAAAACAAAAAAATATATTTTTTTTAAGTGGGACACCCTGTATATTATGAACTTTCTGGATTCTGCGGAAAATTCTAGACATATTTCATGTATAACGTGATATACCTACCTTCAACTGTTTCGGAATTATTGACAGTAGAAAATTGACTTTTTTGCTACTTTGAGAGGCTGTAAAACCTAAATGGTTGATTATAAAGCAAAACCGATCATTTATACTTGTCTTAGTTTTTCATAAAATATCATTTGACACCATCTTTGAATTTAATCCATGAGTAAAAATTCCGGTTAAATTTAATCTCCGGTTAAATTCAAAGTTGGTGTCAAATGCTAGCTCATGAAAAGCTGCAGACGAGAAAGTAGAATCGGTTTTGCTGTAAAATTAACCATTTAGGTTTTACAGCCTCTCAAAGTTGCAGAAAAGTCAATTTTCCACTGTCAATATTTCCAAAACAGTTGAAGATAGGTATATGACATCATGCATGGAATATGTCTAGAATTTTCCGGAGAATCCATAAAGCTCATAATATACAGGGTGTACAATTTAAAAAAATATATTTTTTTGTTTTTTAAACTTTCTGCGACACCCTGTATGAACCAAACTATGTTTTCTGAAAACTATTTTTCAAGCACTACACCTTTCCCATTTACATTTTTTTTTTTTATACACAGTGGCACAAAAAAGTTAAGGGGGGTGGGAAAATATAAAAAATGACCCTGTACATACTAAATAGTATATACAAATGAAAATGAACACACTCCTCCTTCAAAGTAAAATAATAAACAAAAATGGAGGTTATTCGTACATTACCCAAGAACCCAAGGCATATTTATTTGGAGAAGAGTTGAGTTCAGTTCGGATTGAACTGATGCAATTAGATTCATTTAAATAGATTTGATCCCAACTCGTTCAATAAAACAATTGACATTCACAACTGATGCACAACTGTATCAGTTGTCACTATTGTCAAAAAGTTGCTTTGCTTGTGTTTTCTTAATTTTTTCTTGCAATGCTAATTGTTTCATTTGTCTTCCCATCTTCCATTTTTGCTTAAATATTTTGATAATTTTTCAAAACTTACCACCAATTTAAGAGATATAAACAATGAAAAATTAGGTTTTAATCACTAAATAAACAAGGCCGTGCAGTATTATCAGATGTCCAATTTAAAATTTTCAGGATTTGAGAACAAAATTATCAGATTCCAAGAAAAATTATCAGAAAAAGTTTCTGTCAGCTTTTTTGACCACTTTTCATTTTTCGGGCTCTAGTTCAAAAAAGGTTATTCAAGACTTCGAGCCCAAGGGCTTCATTTCCAAGATAATCAACTTTGAAGCTTTTTCAAAATTTGAGATAGTTTCAACTTTGAGCCTCAATATCTTCAGAAGTATTTAAGATATAGAATTGAATTTTTGGATTGGAAATTGGATTTTCAAATATTTCAAATGCTTGTATTTTGGAAACCAGTGGAGCTATTGGCATGAATCTTTTGCCTAATTGTAGCTCTTAATAAAGGATACAAAAAGGTTATTTAAGCCTCCAAGCCCAAGGGCTTTGTTTTCAAGCTAATCCGTCTGGAAGCTTTTGCAAAATTTGAGGTAAAGTTTCAATTTTGAGCCTCAATATCTTCAGAAGTATTTAAAATATAGAATTGAGTCTTATTTTATCTTAAAGATAATTTAATTCTGATTCAGAATATATAATTTTACATTGTATTTGTTACAATAATAATAGAGTAATCAACAACTTTATGGAAGAATTTTTCAAAGGGCCATATTTTGGAAACCAGTAAAGTTATTGGCATGAAACTTTGGCTCAATCTGGGACTAGTGTCTGGTGCTCACACCAGTACGTTAAAACATTCAAAACCAACATACACCTTCAATTTTTAAATAAATGTTTATAGCTGTATGCAACATCCTCTTTTAACTTCAAAGCGCTTTTTAAAACTGGTCACTTTTAAGATTCTGTATTCTAAGCCATACAATTTTTTAAAGGTACCAGTTTTAAAAAGCGCTCTAAAGTTAAAAGAGGATGTTGTATACAGCTGTGAAAATTTATTAAAAAATTGAAGGTGTTGTTGGTTTTGAATGTTGCATACAGTGATTAATTTTTAACTAGAAATTTGAAAAATCTATATTAAAATTGTAGTTTCATTAAATTATGGTAGATTAGCTTGTCATTATCGAATATTGAATCGTAGCCAAAATTATGGTAGAATTCGATAATTATCGGGTCATTGGCAACACTGAGTAGTAGTGTGTATCATCCTTACTGGAAAGCAGCTCAGGAATTTTAAAAATTACCTAAAAATGAAAATCATTGGAAATTACGTATTATGTATCAAAAAATAACAAAAATCACAAAAATTACAAAAGTCATGGAAATTTTGAAAAGTTATAGGGGAAAAATAAGAGAATTATCATATAAAAAAAAATCATAGCGATTTCAAAAATTACGTAGAATTATAAATTACCAGAAATTACGAAAAAAGAAGAAATTACAAAAATTAAAGGAATTACAAAAATTACGGAAAATAGGTATGTATAGGAATTTACAAAAAAAAATTGAAAAAAATTACGCAAATTGGATAATTACATGAAACTATAAGAATCAATCAAAAATTGCAAAAATTTCGAAAAAAAATTGTGGAAGCATAAGGGAAGCATCATATAAAAATGTCCAATTTTGAAAAACTTGTGTAAATCGAAAACTCCTTCGCCAATATGTCGAAAAAACTAGTAAAAATACATTGAAAACTCCTTCGCCAACATGTCAAGGCGACAGAATCTTTAACTAAAAATAAAATGGAAAACTCAGCCAACCATTATAAATGTTGGTATTGTTTCCTCAATGGTAACAATGGTAACCGAATGGGTTGTTGATTATTTTCAACGCGGACTTTATTCTTGAACCTGAAAGGTTGAAAATTGGTTGTTCGTGAATATTTTATTGGTAGAAAAATTGGGTTTTGGAATAAGAGCCCTTTGGGACATCCGGGTTTGATCAATTTCCGGGATAAATAAAAATAAAGAGCCAGTCAATTCGAAAGGCAATTTTGTGAGTTATTGATGGGCTTTTAAAAAAGGGAGTCGAGAAAAATGGAGGTAAAATGTTTTATTTTCACTTATCTTGCCCGTTTGTTTAATGCATACCTGAATTAAACAATAACGAGAAGAAAAAAAAAAAAAAAATAAAATAACTAAATAAAAATTAAATTTGTTGCTAAGTTGCATCTATCTATTCATAAGTCAATCTATCCATTGGCTTGATTACCCTCTTGGGTCTACTAGATATAGCTTGTTCTGAGGCAGGACATGTAATATCTGCCGCAACAGGACTAGTTCTTACAATTGTTTTTCCTAAATCTAAAGATAAATCTGAAACCTCGTTATCACATGTAAAAGTGCCAGAACTGCCAAAAACTGGAATATGAGGCACCACCTCAGTTGTTTGGGTATGCTTTTTGATTTGATTTACATGCCTTTTCCAAGTTTTATTCAGCTCGGGAACCTCCACTAAATAAGTACATCTACCCATCTTCTTAACAATCTTACCCTTAATAAAACTAGGTTTATTTACAACTTTATAATTCTTAACAAAAACTATTTCACCAATTTCAAAATTAACATTTTTTCTACCCCCACTATATGCAATTTGTTTTATTTGCTGATTTTCAACCCTTTGTTGCAAAATATCCTTGTCGAAATTGCTAGAAGCTTCTCTAGTACTATCTGAAGGTAAAAGGGTGGAAAACCGAATTCTTAAAGCTCTTCCAAACATCAGCATAGCTGGACTAACCCCTGTGGTAGAGTGTGATGTATTCCGATAATCAAACAAAAACCTACACATAGCCAGATTGAGATCAGTACCCTTAGAAAGAGCCTTTTTTAAAGCACATTTGAATATTTTGACGCCGTTTTCAGCAGCGCCGTTAGAGGATGGAGAATACGGTGGGCTAGTTAAATGTTTGATATTATTATTTGACAAAAAGTCTTCAAAATCCGCTGATACCAGAGAAGGACCGTTATCAGACACTAAAAGTTTAGGTAAACCAAAAGTAGCAAAAAGTCTTCTTAATGCCTTAATTGTGAGTACTGTATTTATGCTTGGCATTTCAAACACCTCCAGCCACTTAGAAAATGCGTCTACAATTACTAAGAAAAATCTACTATTTAATTCACAAAAATCGATATGAACTCTCTCCCAAGGACCAATAGGTAAGGGCCAAGGAGATATTTGCGCCTTAGGGGGGCTGTTCGAATGAAATTGGCAAGATTTACAATTTTTAACGATGTTTTCTATATCCTTATCGAGATTTGGATACCAAATATATCCACGAGCTAACCTTTTCATTCGAACGGCTCCCATGTGACTACTACGTAACTCATTTAACAACTCATTTTTCAAAATACTAGGCACCACCAACCTATGGTTCCAAAAAATACATTGGTTCCTAACAAAAAAATCAAGCCTTTTAACAAAATAAGGTTGGAGACGAGCATCTTTAACTCTTTGCAAAAACTTATCATTGAGGGTAGCCTTTCTAACAGTCTCAAAATTTAACTTTAACTGACTAGAATTGGAGAAAAAATAACAGTAATCGACATCCACTTCATCCTCATTTAAAAAATCCTTACTTTGTGTAGCAGGTAAACGTGAAAGCCAATCTGCCATATTTTTACTATTACTGACATATTCTATTTTATAATTATACCATACCCTGACAAAATTAAAGCCCAACGCCTTAGTCTGTTGGCTGAAAATTGTGGAATGGGCTTATTTTCCCCAAAAATAGCCAGCAGCGGCTTGTGATCTGTTATAAGGGTAAACTTATTTCCATATAAATACTCATTAAACTTTAAAACCCCATAAATGATTGATAAAGCTTCCTTTTCAATTTGTGAATACTTTTGTTCAGCAGGAGACAGAGTTCTTGAGGCATAAGCAATTGGTTTTTCCTCCCCAGTAGGAAACTTGTGACTCAAAATTACTCCAACTCCTACCGAAGAAGCATCAGTAGTTAACCGAAGTTCTAATTTTGGATTGTAATGTACTAAAACACTTGAGGACTTTAATATTTTTTTAATATTCGAAAAAGCTTGTTCACATTTATTATTCCATTCCCACTCAATATTAGCTTTCAATAATTTATAAAGAGGACTTAGAATAGTAGACATATTTTTTACAAATCTACCATAGTAGTTTATGCTTCCCAAAAAAGACTAAAGCTGTTTGACATTTTCTGGCCTAGGGGCCTCATCTATGGCCCTAGTTTTTTCATTCGAAGGATGTAGACCTTCACTATTAATGACAAACCCCAAATATTCAACTTTTTTTTTAAAAAATTGACACTTATTGAAATTAATTTTCAAACCAGAATTTTTAAGAATAGACAAGACCCTTTTTAAATTTTCATAATGTTCTCCTCTAGTTTTTCCAGTGACCAAAATGTCATCTTGAAAAACAGCGACACCCTCCATTGAAATAAAAAGTGAATCCATTATTTTTTGAAATTTTGATGGTGCGCAGGCTACCCCAAATGTAAGACGGTTATACCTAAATAGTCCTAAATGCGTAGAAATGGTCAATAGCTCCTTACTCGGCTCGTCAACCTCAATCTGTTGAAAGGCCTGGGATAGATCTAGCTTACTGTATTCTCCTCCTCCTTGAAGTTTAGAAAAAAGCTGCTCTATTCTGGGCAAGGGATGCTGATCCACTTCAATGTATGGATTGACAGTAACCTTGAAATCACCACAGATCCTTATTTGTCCGTTCTTTTTGAACACGGGGACAATGGGGGTAGCCCAGCTGCTGAACTCCACTGGTGCAATAATACCTAAAGAAAGCATTCTATTAATTTCAGTTTCAACCTTTTCTTTTATGGCGAAAGGTACAGGCCGGGCTCTAATAAATTTAGGGTTGAAATTTTTTTTTAAATAAATTTTTTCAACAGTCCTAAGCCCGGGGAAAAAACTTCAGAAAACTGTGATGATAAATTTTCTAAATTTTGTTTACAGTAATTCATCATCTTTAAACCAATATCATAAAGTAACAAAAAATCTCTGCCTAATATTGGTGGACCTCCGTTTCTAATTACATAAAATGTTAAAGTATTTTCCTTGTTTTGATGCTCAATTTTTAAATTTAAAGAACCCTCTGGCTTAAACTGGTCCCCATTATAAAAAATAAAACACTTCTGTGAGCCTTGCAAAGGATATTTTTTAAAATACTTTAAATATAGTTCATGAGAAAAACAAGAAATACCACTACCTGTGTCTATTTGAAAATTTATCGGCATTTTTTCTACCAATATTTCTAAATTGAATTTATTATCGCAAAAAATATTTTGGTTATTTATATTAAGTAAACAATTCAAAGTACCCGAGCTATCAATACCCATACCTTCTCCTAACTTGTTTACATTTTTGTTTTGGCTCAATTTATTTATATCGGACATGCAAAACATTGAAATATCATCTTCATCATCACTCTCTCTGTTTACATTTTCAGCCTGAATATAGTTGTTTCCGGCAACAAAAAAGTGCCCAGAATGTTTACTTTTACAAACAGCAGCTAAGTGACCAGGTTTTTGACAATGTAAACAGATTGAGTTTTTGTAAAAACACTTATCTTTTGAATGATTGTTCCGTCCACATACATCGCAGGCCCTGTTGAGTTGCTGTCGCCCCATTTGTTGTTGTTGGTATTGCCTCCTGTCACTCCTGCCTCGGCTGTCATACCCTTGTCCGCCATACTTGACATATCCAACTCCATTGCTGTCACGGTTGTCACGCCCTCTGAGGTGGTTGACAGGCTCCGTTTTGACAGTGACTTCCTGCATCTCCTGCGCCGCCATCTTGGTAGCCGCAACTTGCACCATTTTTTCTAGGTTCGCTTCAATTTTTTCTTCCATTAGCCGATCCAAAATGGGTCCTTTTCCAAAGCCAAAGACAAACTTGTCTCTCAAGCAAACTTTTAGCTCCGTGCCAAACGAGCATCCAACAGCTAGGCCTCTCACTCTGGCAGCCCATTTGCTCGGCGTTTCGTCAGGTTCTCGCCGTGCTGAATAAAAAAGGAATCGATTTGCAAACGGCGATTGCTGCGTCCTAAAATGTTCATCGAATATGCTCACCAACTGTGCATATGTCTTCTCTTCTGGCTTGTCGGGACTTGCCAGGTCGAAAATTAATTTGTAGGCGCCTTGATCCAGCACGTTCAATAGAATAGCTCGCATTTTGTCGGCATGGGTTGCAGTTTTTATGTCATTTGCCGCGAAATAATTCTCCAGCCTGGCCTTAAAAATCGTCCAATCGGAATTCTGCAGCTGAAACTCGCGCAAATGTCCCACTGCCGCCATATCAGCCATTATCCAAACCGGTTTTCGAGTAGAAACGTGCACTATTTCGAAAATTACTTTCTCGTCCCACACGCGGATAGAAACTTGCACTATTACGGTACCGCAGTTACTGAAATACTGAAAAATTTACGGCTAGCGCTGTAGGTTCGCGTGAAAAATATCCTCGTCGCCTATTTGTAGTGTCTTTTACCTTTATTTGGGATTATTGAAAATATAATGGGTGCGTTCACAATCGCACTCCAAACATTTCAATTAAATACATTACAAGCTGTTTGCGCCAGCGGTCATAGTTTAGAATTTAAATTTATGATGAAAATAGTTATTTTTGTATCAAGGGCGCGAAATGCTACTTTGGTGATCGAGATCTGATTTTTTTAACGAGGCGCAGCCGAGTTAAAAAAATAGTCGAGATCACCAAAGTATTTCGCGCTCGAGTTGCAAACAATATTTTTTCTACAACTCCATTTAAATATCAATCATTCGAAGCCAAAATTACATTTTCAATCAAAGGTAGGTGAATTTTAATTATTTTTGATTTCCTGACAGGTATGTGTCACCATGACTCCCAGTGTGCGAACTAGCTATTTCGCGCACGGCGTCATGGGAACGTTAAAAAATCAATGCCTGGGATAAAAAGTGTCACTTCGCAAACAATCATGAGTGTGCGAACATCATCATTTTTTGACAGTTGTAGAAAAATATTATTTAATTTTTATTTACCTAATAAGCAAAGAGGAAGATGCGAACGAGATTTGAAAAAGCATTGCTTTAGAATGTTAATTAATGTACTAAAATCAAGTATTGTTGTGTTCGCCGAAATTAAATAACTCTTACTCAGTTGGGACATTTTTGAATACTTTTATTATGTACAGAATAACTAGCTGGTACAAAATCTAGTATAACAATGAATTCCTTTTCATGGGAGTTTAAGCTCCTTAAATATAAATTTCTATCTTAATGAATTATTATCTAAACCTAATGATCTATTCCTAAGTTGAAAATTTAATGAGCTTGTTTTTATTTACTCTTAATAATTGAGGAATAATTTGAGTATTGACTCAGATAAATATAATAGGAATATAATTTCGAGTATACAAATAACTCCTATCTGAAGTTAGGAAGAAATATGATTAGCGTAATTAACTAGATGACTTAATAATTATTGTCATGAGGTTTTGTTACGAAAATATAGTTGATATTGAAAAACCATTATTATACTGAAGAATTTGGGGTTGTTAGGTTTAAGTTGATTATTCCATATGAATGATTAGCATATATGGAATAGGCATATACTATATACTCACAATAGTATGCATAAAGCAAAAGCCAGCGGAATCATAAGTTGTGGTGCAAACACCTTACGTTAAGGCCAAGGTTGTTTGTGTCAAGGCGAAAAACGACACGCTGCCTACGTCATCGCCTGATTCTCTGGCGTGGTGAGGGGCTTGAGATTTGATCTAAACAGACCTTATAAGGATAAGCTATCCTGGTAGTATAAGTAGTGTGTTGCTCCTGAAACCAAAAAGTATCAAATTGCGCCCGCAAATATAGGCATTTTGCGGCCGGTTGTACAGGGTATTTGATTATATTATATTTGAATCCATACTTACAGCTTACAGCCCTTATTATTGTCACAACTGCCCACTTTATGAGGGTGACATAGGGGGTTTGTAGCTTTGGGGGTGGATGGAGAGAAAATCGCTCAAGTTGTTTAAAAATATAGATATATATTTTCCCAAATATGCACTTACATGTACGCTAATCTTATAAGATGCATGACCCTTCGAACACTGGGGTCCTTATAGGGAGCCACACGTTAACGCTGCTTTGGGGATTGTCGATTAGTTATCGTCACTCTTATGCCTTGTCCAGAGGGGCTTTCTTAGCAAGAGGTAATTGCACTGGACAACGATAAGATTGAAGATACCCAGAGAGGCTTCCCAACAAGAGGTACTTGCACTGGTTTAAGTCTCCTTTTGCTGCGGCTCGCAGCGTAATTTATATCCGTTTATTACTGAATTGCAATAAACATCCGACCGAATCGGCAAATAAATTGATAAGGTTGAATACCGGGTCCTCCTTTCCTAAGCAGCTAGTTGACAATAAATCAACCAACCTCGAGTGTTCAAATTACAAACATCAGCGAATAGGCACAGTTTTTCCGAAAATACTTCTTTTTGACTGATCGTTAGAGTCCAAAGTACCATTTTATTGATATGATGGAATTAATATCTAATTTGTTAGATGTCTAAAGATTTTAAATTCAAGAAAATTTGTTTACACAATACTTTTTTGTTTATTTAGGTTTGAATTTGGTTTCTGCGCATTATGGACTGGCTTATACCTGATTGCGGCTTGTCTGGCAGTTACTTACAGCATTGAAGCTTATATTGCAGCTGGGGTAAGCGTATTTTCAAAATTGTATAATACACTGGTCAGCAAATTTAACGCACCACTTACTTATTTCTATTTTAATGAGGTTTGAATTGGAACAGTTCTGATTTTTACCCAATTGAGGATGGCTGGGACATGATCTGTCGCCATTTTTAAGAGCTTCCTTACCCTTCTAACACTTTGAATGGGCTTATTGGAAATATTGTCAAAATATGGAATAATTTGGAGTAAAGCGAGATAATGCCCATAATTTAAACATGAAAAATCGCTCCCGTGCTATTATTCAAAATAGAGGAGAAAATACCGGTTATTAATTATTTTTAACTAAAATTAAAAAAAAAAAAATTTTTTGAATTTTCTTGTTCTTTTTTTTTTCTTACCTTCTTTTGGAATTTTATCTATCGTTAATACCCCTATTAGGTCAGAATAAGAATATATTTAACGCTGTGTCTAGAATCCCGGTACCGGTAACACATTTTTTACCGGTAGTTTTAATGACGTCATCGATATGACGCACTTGTACCGGCATTTAAGTGAATCCCGGTGTTTTGATTTTGTTTTTATCGTTATTTATCAGCTGATTGGTATTTTAAGTTAGTTTTTTAAAGTTTTCATCACTTTTTTTGAAACATTTCAAAATTAGTTTAGGTTCGAAATACCCTATATAAATGCTTTGCGTTCGGAAATGTGGAACAACTCATCACTCATTCCAGATTAGAAGTAATCTGCAATCAGATAGTGAACTAGGGTTGTTATTTCCGACAACCCCTGAGAATTTAAACAATTTTAAAATGATGTCACTTTATATAGCAGTTTATTGAGCAGTTAATAATCAAAGGATAACGCACACGTAACATGGGATTTTTGGGCTCTATGGATTTTGCCCATTTTTTGATATGTTGTAGAGGATTTAATTCTGAACAACCTTTAAATGGGACGAAATCTTGTAGGTATTACATACAGTCTTTGAGATATGAGCGTTAAAAGATGAACTTTTTTGCAACTTTTTGTGTGGAGAGTATACGAAAAACTGGTGTTTATCAGTCAAAATTTTGATAGGTCGACATATTTCACGTCACTAACAAATGTCAACGTAGGCTAAGGCCAGGACCGTACTGGCGCCAACATTGACCCTAGTGCGGTCCCAGCCTTAACCTACGTTGACATCAATTTTTAAGTGACGTAAAATATGTGAACCTGTCAATACTTTGACTGACCAGTAGCACCAGTATCTCGTATACTCTCCACTCAAAAAATCGCAAAAAAGTTCATCTTTCAACGCTCATATCTCAAAGACCGTAATACCTACAAGATTTTGTCCCATTTAAAGGTTGTTCAGAATTAAATCCTCTACAACATATCAAAAAATGGGCAAAATCCATAGAGCCCAAAAATCCCATGTTAGGTGTGCGTTATCCTTTAATATTTATTAATTTACTTCAAGCCAATATATGTAACTTTACTATTTAGGATATTAGAATGTAAATTAAAATAAATATCTCTCATTTTTTATTTATAAGTTTGCAATCAGAACAATACCACATTTTGGGTATTTTACATAAACTTCATAAACTGGCACATTTCACATGTCAAAGTCTCTTCAACTTCTTTATACCTTTTAAATGTTTGTCCTACATTAAAGACCATTTTAAAAGTACTTTCACGTTGATAAACTCACAAACACATAAAAAGTTAGGTTAGGTTGGACTTTGATTAAACAAAAACCGCCAACGACTACATTTTTTACCGGGATTTGCTTGAATCCCGGATACAATGTATCATATGGGTGACGTCATCAAAACTACCGGTAAAAAAAGTGTTACCGGTACTGGGATTTTAGACACAGCGTATATTTAATCAAGACATAAAAATATTTGATCAAAATTATGAAATAAAAAATATTTTTTCTACTACCGTGCGTAAAGTACGCACTTTACGCACTATTCAGAAGACGTAAAATTCTATTTCACACACTAGTGCGTAAAGTAATTCACTTCACACACTAGTGCGTAGAGTAATGTCAATGACAGATGTTGACACTGTCAATTTAGTATTTTTCTGGTAAATTACTTCACGCACTAGTGCGTAAAGTGAAAATACTTCACGCACTAGTTCGTGAAGTATTTGTCTAAATCTATTTTTTTACACATATTTGATTGGTAGTAGAAAAAATTTTGTATGCAATACGTGCGTAAAGTACCTTTTTTCACTCATGTGATTGTCGCACTCGCCTTCGGCTCGTGCGTCAAAGGTTCACTTTACACAGTTGTTGCATAAATAACTATTTCCTACAGCCGTGCGGAAAAATCGATTTTCCGCACTGATATGCGCGCGGAAAATGAGTTTTCCCGCACCGTGCGGTAAAATTTTTTTTTTTGACATATCAGTGCGGAAAACTTTTTCCGCACGGCTGTCAGTGCGGAAAAAATTTTACCGCACTGATATGTCAAAAAAAAAAAGAAAAATTTTACATTTTTTCGCCTGTAGGAAAAATATTGTACCTAACACTTGCGGAAAAATTCATTTTCCGCACTTGTTAGGTAAATAACTATTTCAAAAATAGTAATGGTGCGTTAATTTTGTTGGCCAGTGTATATTATTTTAATTATTTTTTTTTTAACTATTCTTAATCTAATTTTTCAGTTCTTTGGGTTCTGTGCAATGGTTGCATATGGTATTGACGCATTCTTCAAGTTCCAAGCAATCAAATCGGGCCAATTAGCTCAAGGGGAAAGGGTGATGAGTAAACAATCGACTACCACTGTAACGACACCTTCAGCATACCCATAAGTATATCAATTATGTTGTTCAAAAAAAATAATCTGGCAAAATTTTAGAATGCACTACAAGTACATTTTATTTGCTGAAAAAACTTTGGGATATTATTTAAATTACATGAATCTGTCAAACTGAATCTTTTAAAATTGTGATATAAAATAACTTTATGCAACAAGTGTGTAAAGTGACTAAAGTGTATTTTTTTTCACGAATGTTAATTTTGAATGAAAAAAAGTGCTTTACACACCTGTTGCATACAATTTTTTCTCTAGTACCGACAACACAAATCACAAAGCTATAAATTTGAAAAAATATACGCTCTGATGTCTAAAGTAACTTAGGGTGTAAAGTGAAATTACATTTTTATTGCAAAAAAGGGTGGCAAATAAGGCCTTTATAATATCATATTTTACATTTGTGGGTATTTATGCATTTTTGCGCCGAAACTAATACAATTTATTAAGTGTTTTCTTTATGTCACGCGCTACTGTGTAAAGTGAATTGCCTAACGTCCTAGTGCGTGAATATTATTTTTCTACTACTGTGCGTAAAGTTTTCACTCTAGTCACTTTACGCACAATTCAAATGTAACCAAAAGCAATTTACCTTTGTATTTCGAATTAATTATTGTAAAATGTATTTGTAATTTTTTTATAGGTGAAAAACACTTTGTCGCAATATTAATGTGACACTTTTCTTTGAATTTTGCTAAAATATGTTTTGTATTTATTTTGCATTAGTTTTAAGCAACTTAATTTTATTATTATGAAATATGTATATTGATATTGTTACCGCTTTGCCTAATTAATAAGTTGTTAATATTGTTTTATACTTATCATTATTGTTATGTTATAATTTTTGTATTATTAATTCACTTTTTTTTCAACTACTTTTAATGCCTTCACAACGAATCTTATTACCTATTTTTTTAAAAACTCTACCAAATCTTTGCATTTTAAGACAAAGGCTAGAATAGAACAAAATAAAATATAAAAATATTTTTAATATGTATTAACTTTGTACTTATATTTGAAAATATTCTGATACTGATTTTATATAAATATTCTAAAAAAGCACTACTTTATATAATTCTTTAAACAGATTTTTTTATATTACTCATAATAACATGCAACTACACTGTTTTTAATTCTATGATGCTGATTTACACTAAATTGGAATATTGTGTGTTATATAATATTATTATAAGTCATAAGTACATATTATGTAGATTTTTGTAGTGGGATAAATAGATTCACAGTTTGAAAACAGTTGACTTTTTTTGATTAGGTATGGGGGATCAATGATTTGTCAAATATTTTGGTAAAACAATGCTGAAAGAGGCATCGCACTAAATGAGAGATTTGTAAATTGTCAATATTTTTCAATATTTTTCAACAAAAAAAATAGCTATTTTCCTAACGAGTGCGGGAAGAGAAATTTCCGGCGCAAGGGTGCGAAGCGCTCAAGTGCCGGAAATTTCTTCCCGCAAGAGTTATTATTATTATTATTATTATTATTAGTTACAACAGTAAACGGTTATGACCGATGAAACTGTTGTCATAATTTCCGTGGTTCCTTTTTGGCTTTTCAAAATATTCAGCTTGTTCATTTACAGTCCGAAGTGAATGTTCACACTAGTCAGCACTTCCCGTTGATTATCTAGTCTGTTTTTGAATGAGTTAATACTTGGAGTGCTCACAGTGTTTTCCGATAATGCATTCCAATGATAGACAATTCTATTTGTCAAAAAGTTTTTACGGGGTAGTTTTGCGTTCTTTTCTTTTTCCAGTTTTTTGCTGTGTCCTCGAAGGTGTATGTTTGCATTCGCATGGAAGATATTAAGAGTAGCATTATAATATGGTTTTAAAATTTTGTAGGTCTCAATAAGATCTCCTCTTAAACGCCTTTCTCGTAGAGTTGTCAATTTAAGTCTTTGTAGTCTTGTAGTATAGTCTAACTGTGATAATTCTGGTGGTATTCTTGTTACACGTCTTTGAACTTTTTCTAATAGCTCGATGTCCTTTACAAAGTAAGGGTTCCATATTGTTTCGCCATATTCTAGTTTTGGCCTAATATAAGTTTTATATAGTTTCAATATGGTGTCCATTGAGTGGTCTGAAAATGCTTTTTGGATGCAATAAATGAACGAGTTTGCTTTTTTCACTATCCTATGAATGTGTGGTTCCCATTTGAGGTCTGCGCTGATGATGACGCCTAAATCACTCTGTTGATCGACGTTATTTAGATTGGTACCATTTAGTGAATAGGGTATAATTGTGTTGTTTATTCCAATACTGAGTACTGTGCACTTCTCTTCGTTTAGTTTCATGCTCCAGGTTTTTGCCCATTGCTCTATTCTATGAAGATCTTTTTGCAGCTCTTTAGACTTAGTTCTGGAGTTTGCAAACAGCTTGGCGTCATCGGCAAAAAATATTATACGTGTTTTTATTTCCATTGCTAAGTCGCTGATATAAACTGAAAAGAGCAGAGGACCAAGCACTGTACCTTGAGCTATCCCGCTGAGAGCCACATGTACGTCAGAGAGTACTCCATTTATTCTTGTTTGAAAAGTTCTTTTTTTCAAAAAGAAGGAAAGACAACCAAATAGATTACCACCAATACCATAGTGGTCCATCTTATGAAGCATTTTATTGAATGGTACTTTGTCAAATGCTTTCTCAAAATCTAAGTAGACGATGTCGGTTTGTTCATTCTTATCAAAGCTTTGTGTCCAGGTGTTCAAACAAGTTGTGAGGTTGGTAATGGTTTACTTTTTTGGAAGAAATCCATGTTGGTGATCTGTGATGGCCCCATTTTCAAGGAGGAATGGTGTTAATTCTTTTGTGATGACCTTCTCAAAACATTTGCAAATATTGGAAGTTAAACTTATTGGTCTATAGTTGAGTTGGAAGGTAGTTGTTTATCGCCCTTTTTGTAAAGTGGGGTTACAATAGAGGTGGGCCAACCTGCGATTTTAATGGAGCTGTGACAAGACGTGACTGCTCCAGTCGAGTCACTGTGACAAATAGCAGTGATTTTTTGGAGCAGTTTTACCTTAGTTGGCGGCCGTACTTCTAATATTATGTTAATGCTACATCGCAACATGGCATAATCACAGTCCGCAGTTACGGCCGAGAGAGATGTTCTAGTTTTCAGCCTGCCCTCTGCAGTAGCAGTTTCTATTTGGCTTGACCGCGATGTGATTTATAATATTATATTATTAAATTTGCATCACAGCTCGAGTTTTGACCGCGCTGCATCGGTCGGAGCTTGAAGCGGGCAGTGACAAAATGTCACTGCTACTTGACTGGGACTGGAGCAGGCTGTGACTGTGACAGACAAGTAGCAGTGACAAAGTCACAGTTCGTGAAATCGCAACCCACCTCTAGGTTACAATAGCATGTGTCCATATGTCTGGTAGTCTTCCACTCTCCATTATCTCATTCATGGCGTCTGCTAGAGGTTTCGTAATTGCTTCGTTGCAATTTTGAAGAAATACTACCGGAATGTTATCAGGACCGGGACCGGCGTCTTTCCTTAAGCAGTTAATGGCCTCAGAAACCTTGTCACTGGTAAAAACGATTGAAGTTAATCTGTTGTTGGATTTTGTTGATTCAGAAAGTTTTGGGAGCTCTGGATCATCGTCTCTTGAGAAAACTCTGGTGAATTGTTGTGCAAATTTTTCTGCTATCGCGTAATCATCCGTAATTGGAGCTCCTGTGGACAGATCTTTTAAAGTAATTTTGGAGACTGTTGTATTAAGAGTGCGTTTTACGTATTTGAAAAATTGTTTGTTGTCGTTTGATGATGCAATTCTTTTTTCAAAGTCCCTCCGTGCTTCCCGGATTTTGTTTTTGAGTTGGTTGTTCTGAATTCTATACACGGAGTAGTTTTGTTCACTTGGAGAATTTCTGTAAATGTCCCATAGTCTTCTTTTTTTGTTGATTTCATTGAATAAATAAATGTTTAACCAGGGTTTTTTTGGATTGACTTTAGATGATATTAATGGGACATATTTGGATATAGCCTGCTGTAGTATGTTAGTGAATGTCTCATATTTGTTTCCTGATGGACGTGTTGTATCAAAGTCTTGTTGGCTTAAATACAAGTTAATTTCATGGTAGTCTGCTTTCCAAAAATTTTTTTTGGTGACTTTATGGGTTGGTCTATCTCTGCATTTGAGCTGTGATTTAGCTGTGATGTTAGGAACTATATTTTTTCTACGAGCATACTAAAGCTGATGTTACGAAGAGTTTAATTTAAATAAAATGCAATTATGCAGAAGGCAGAATTGAAAATGTATTGAAAGGTATTTATAAAAAGGTAAAGGTTCAGGTATAGGTGTATCAACAATACAAACAATTTTTTCTACTGACGTTTCATAATAGCAACTTTTCGATTGTCATTTCAGTTTTGAAACGACATTCTTTTAGGCACTGAGTGCGTGAAAGTTACTTTTAGGCACTCAGTGCGTAAAAGTGACTTTTGAATGCGTAAAAGTGACTTATGAGTGCGTAAAAGTAATTTTTAAGCACTAGTGCCTAAAAGTGTCATTCATTATTCAGAAATAAAAAACACACTAAACACATATTTGAATTTTGTTTTGTATTTATTATGAATACTGAAAATGAAATTACTGAATTGAACGTTTGGGTTAATCAAAACAGAACTTTGTGTTGTTACCTACTTTCTAGGATTTTAATTATTGATGTCGAATTTTGAAAAGAAAATCGCATGAAAAGTGTCAGGTGTCAAGTAAAAGCAGGTAACAAAGATTTTGGGTGTAATCGACTTATTCACATGAAATAAAATTGTGTTTTTTTATTATAAAATGCCAGTAGAAAAAATCTTGTATACAATACGTTACGAAACGATGTCTTTTAGTCACTCGACGTGTTGTCCAACTCGGCTTTGCCTCGTTGGACAATTTTCACGTCGCGTGCCTAAAAGACGCTCATTTCGTAACTTATTGTATAAATAGCTATTTTCTATTTTGGTGTCATATCGAAGTCTTTTCGACACTAAAAGTAGTTTCGAAAAGAAGCTCTTTGTGACACTCCGTTTTTACTTATCGGAGGTTGGTAACACTGGCTGACTGATGGCCATCGAACTGTCATTCACTATAAAAAATAATAGATTTCTATATTTGGCATGTAGTGTTACCAACCTAAACATATGAAATCAGGAAATATGAGAATAAAATTTCCAAGAAAGGTTTTTTTTTTTAAATTAAACAATACCAAAATAGAAAAAATAGTATAAAATATTCGTTTCACAAGACATTTTATCGCACGGGGGTTGACGCTCGGCGGAGCGAGCAGAGCGATTACGCAGTGAAGTGACGTCACAGGGAGTACACCGTGTCAAGCCAAATAAACTTGTGCAAAAATGCTGGGTTGAGCGATCAGCTGATTATTGCTTATTTTTCTTAGCATATATTTTTTGGAGTCCGAGCCCGCATTCCGCATTTGCACCAGAGTTTTCTCGTTTGTTTTGCATTTTAGTCGATAATTTTCAAACAGTCCTATTTTCTTTGGTATTCTGCAAAAAATGTCGTGCTACATAAACAATAAAATGGACCCAAAAACTCTGAGGCTGCCAAATTCCCTTGAAAAAATATGTTCAATAATATCAGTGATGAGGACTATCGAGAAAATTTAATTAAAAGTAAACAATTATGCAGAATTTACTAGCTATTTGATTGTCAACATTCATACAAAATAGGATTGTTTATTTATCTTATCATGGAAAATAGGTTAGGTTATACAGACAGATTAAACTGCGCATGCACGCTCCAGCTGCCCACCCCACAAACTCGGAGTTTATCGAGCTTGCTCTGAGCGCTCAAAATATGTCAAACCTTTGGGGTTCGGACCAATAATTTCGGTTTTAACGGTTCATACCGGTATAGTTTTTCACAAATATCTTATGGCCAAAAAATTGAAGCCGATGAGCAATCCTGTAGTAGTATGTAAAATCCTTGGTGTGTAGCCTAGCCGAGTTCAGAAATGTGCGCTGTCCAATGTCCAACACTCTGTTTTTTAAAGTGTTAATTTTATTATGATACAACCAAACAGCAAACAGCTTAATTTATAAAATCTTGGAACCGAAAAATACCGGTAAGAACCGATTAATTTATATCGGTTCCGGTTCTGCCTACCTTACAACATTTCTATGAAATATGGGCTTCGTTCCGGTTCCGGTTCGCAAAAAAAAAAACGGTTTCGTTCCAATATCGTTCCGGTCCGGGTCCCTGGTTTAAAGTACCTAGTTACTAGCTATAATCATCTATAGAATAGTCTACACTACACCACAAGTAAAAGTGCAGAAGAAATTGTAAATGCTGTACAAAGGGCTAGTATTGTTAGATTTTTGTACTTTTACATACTCTACACTATACTCACACAAAGGGTGTAGAAGCATCAACAATTCTGCACGAGAACATGATGTGTAAAATAAAACTACAAACTATTTTAAAAAAATATCTATTTCATTCAATTAGGTACCACAGAACTTAGGTACTAGCTGACGTCATACACATAACCTCAATGACATGTTTGTCCCCCTATCGAAAGTGACGTTATGTCCGGAGTTATGTCATTGCTGACAAGCTAACGCCTGTCTGTATAATGATATATAAATAATCGTTATTTGTTGCTTCAACGAAATAAAAATCATGTATGTGATGTCAGCTAGTGCCTAATTAAATCACATTTATGCACCCCCAAATATTTTAAGTCGGTTTCACTTTCTTGTTCGCTTAATTTTGCCCTTTGTGCCTCAAATTTATCGTTTCCAGTTGTGAGTTTACTCAGAGTGGCATAGCTTTGCTCCAAGTCTACTCGCATGGCGACTCTAAATTGTTCCAATTCCTTGTCCAATTCCAATGTAGCCTCGTGGTGTTTCTGGTTTTCAAGAAGGCAAAGGCGTTTGGGTAAAACTAGGCTGTTTGGTATCGTTTTGAGTAAATGATGCAAAAAGGCAAATAGTTGATTGTCATTAGAAGTGTAAACTTTAATAAAGGCATTATTATCTTGATATTTGTGTGGTATAAGCATGGTGTGATTAATTGCCTCACTAACATTAAGAGCTAAAAAGTATGATTTATTCATTAAAGACACATGGGTTAAGGAGCAATTGTTTTCAAGAGTTGAGATAAGGGATAACTCTTGAGGCAAACACAAAACCACCTCGTTCAACTCACTGCTAGCAATTACCATTAAAAATGTCTCCAAGCACTGCTCATCAAGGCCTAAAACATTTAAACACTGTGAAATTTCAATGCTAGGAAGTGCGAGTGAAGCATTATTGCACAACAAATGGCTGTGAAAATTATATTTAAGCTTATGCACAAATTGGGGCATTTCAATGCTAACCACGACAAACAGTTTACCTTTACCACCTTGACACTTCTCGATCAAATCCCAGCAACCCAGGCAGCAAATATCAGCAGCATCACTAACACTGAAAGTTTGCGCTTTGTAGATCACTTTCTCCCCAGAGGCCTCCCATAAAACGAAATCAACATTAGTGGGCTCCGAACAGCTCAGCTCATAACCCAAACAGTATTTGTTGTTGAGTATTCTGGTCCAGTGCCGCACTAATTGGATACCTGGAACCGCCTCGGATGATGTGGCTTCCTGGCGCTCTACGATCAGGTCTTTCAGGGCTTGGTTATCCAAGCGCCCCTGTTGCAACTTGCAAGTTAGAAACTGTTTTATTTTGTCGTCAGAAATTTGCGTTAGCGTTAGATCCAGTTCCGGATCATAATCCATAATGGTTTTTTAATAAAATATTTATATTTGATTTACACCGTTTTTACCTAATAGTTATTTAAGTTTTGATATAAAAATATAAAATAAACAAAAAATAAAAATAATATAATTACATTAACCTCACTCTATATCTTATAGCGATTTCGATTTGACAGTCGACTCTTGTCCTAATAGTTGTAATCCTTTCAAGAGTTTAGAACCCTAGAGCTACTCGCTCCGGTGTCAGTCAACCCCAATTTTAAGGAAAGAGATGCGAGGTGCAACAAAAACTTTTCGAAAGGAATAAGCGCGTAATGCCCAAGAACTGTTCCGGACCTACTCCTAGGTGTGAAAGGAATACAACTAGTCAGGGCTGGTATCACGACAAGTAGAATTTAACTTTTATGACGTCACCCTCGACCTATTTATCGCGTACAGTACAGGCGATGATGACAGTTGCTAGGCAACATGACGTCATTAAAGGAAAATTCTAGTACAATTCTACTTGTTGTGATCCCAACCTAGCAGCCAGATTACAATTTCACTAGTCGACACGAGTCGAGCGTTTCGTTCGGATAAGCAACATCAACGTTATTTCCGAGTCGCATCCTTCGACTTTGAGCAATTAGAATCCCTATCCTGGTTCGCACTCAGAAAAATGTAGTTTCGGTAATTTGTGGTTAATTTTTTATTGGAGTCCTTTGCTTATCTGCAACAACTTGATAATGAATATTATTTATGATACTAAATTTTTGAGTTTCCGATTAGTTAATTAATAAAAATCTCAATCCCCCTACCAGGCCAAAGTACCATTGATGACGTATGCAGCGTGTCGATTCTCGCTTTGACGTAGGGTGCTTGGCTTGCACCACAGGTTCTGATGGCTCTGATTTTTGCTTTATACATATTTTTTAGTTTTATTACATTTACATAATCTCAAGTATAAGTATAAGCGGAGACCGCGAGATGACGCGTCCGATTATAAATCTGCGCATGCGCGACGAATTATCCTTACTATCCTGACGAATAAAGAAACAGTAATGCGACGTACGTTTTCGTAGTCACAGCAATCTTCGATTGGGTTTTTTTTTTGAAGACCCGTTATATCCGGTATAATTGACCACCAAACGTAAAATTTGGTAAATTCATGACTATAAATTGTCCAATAATTATTAGGGCGAATCCCCACGAGCGTAATTAGCGCAATCGGCATGAACGTCAATTCTACGCCAATTTTGGCGTAACGTCCCGCATTCTAACCCAAATATCTTGTTCATTTTTTGCCAGGTTGTAATTGACCTTTTCAATTTAAAAACCTCTCTCTCTGGGGGGGTTTATTTGAAATCCGTGCAAATCTTTCACATGCGACGCAGTCGGTCGAAATATGCGCGTCGACGAATTCTAAAAATTCACGATCGGCTTATTTGAAATCTTGTGCATTTTGTAATTCGTGACTTTTTAAATTTGCACTACTCAACTTGGCAACGTGTCCTGTAAAAGATTTTAACCAATGACATTGTTAGAAAATTTCATATGACCAAACGGAACGATGCATTGAAATGTCAAATTTGAAATTGTTTACCGTCAACAACTTTTTTGACTATTTCCGTGCATAAAGTTTCGTGTTTAGTTGGAGGTTTTTCGTTTTTTTTTGTTGATAATCTTAGTTCATTCTTCATTCTTTCTATAAGTGTAGGCAATACCGCAAAAAGGATGGAAAGTGCGGGGGCAAGTGCCAATAAGAGAAGGTCCGGATTTGTTACCGAAAAACAAAAAGAACACTCGGTCGAATATTTGAACAAAAATCCGGCCCTTTTGTCGGGGAAATTTTCGAACTCCTTTTCATGGAAGGAATCTCGAAACATTCTTTTGAAAGTCGAAAGTTTTTTTTTTTAATTCCCCGTCATTACCTAAGCATTGTTAATGCATGCATCTATTCTTGGATTTTTGAAGCCTTTGCGGTTATTGTTATACAATTCGACCCTTTCTAGAGCATTTAAATTAACATTATTTGCGAATTCCATGAGGCCAAGAATATTTTTTATCGACTAAACTGAAATTTTTAAGAAACTTTCGCATGCAATTTGGAAATGCACTAGCTCTAGGGGTGACGCATGTCAAATGCAATCTTGCGTCGACGAATTTAGCAAAATACGTTGACGAAAGTTTCAAATAAGCCACATGTGCATTTTTTTGAATTTCACCTTTACAAATTGCGACTTAGTCAGACGTATTTGAATTGCACGTTTCAAATAAACCCCCCCTGGCGTCAAACTGTCAGACGCCAAAAGAGTATGAAAACAACGGTTGACAGCCGCTGACAGTGGTTTGTTGACAAGATTTTTGTACATGTGGAAACTGGAAACTATTACTTCCTCGGTTTTTTCAGAGTTTTTTCCTAACAATGGTGATTGTGTAGTGTGCCTTTTTATAAAAATAATTTCTATTTACCGGCGGACGTGTCTCTCCATAAGTTTCCATCAAATCCTACATTTGTCAAATTTTGAATACATGAAATCAGAAAAAATACTCGCAAAAAAAAAGGGAAATCCACGGCCTATCAAGTATACAAAGTAATCCACGTTCAAGTTTAGTTTGCGGGAGCTGTTTTCTTCCAAAATATTCCACCGCTTCCTCCATAGCGAAGTTCTGCAAATGAAGTAGTGACTTTTCCCATATTTTCTTTCAAGACACCCAATACACACTGGCATTGACAAGCAAGCAAATGTTGGCGGGAAAATGATTGTTTTCATACTTTATTGTCCATCTCTTTTAATTGAAAACGTCAATTGACGTATTCAATTAAAAGAGATGGACAATAAAGTATGAAAACAATCATTTTCCCGCCAATATTTGCTTGCTTGTCAATGCCAGTGTGTCTTGGGTGTTTTGAAAGAAAATGTGGGAAAAGTCACTACTTTATTTGCAGAACTTCGCTATGGAGAAAGCGGTGAATTATTTTGGAAGCAAACAGCTCCCGCAAACTAAGCTTGAACGTGGATTACTTTGTATACTTGATGGGCCGTGGATTCCTCTTTTTTTTGCGAGTATTCTTTCTGATTTTATGTATCCAAAATTTGACAAATGTATGATTTGATGGAAACTTATGGAAAGACATGTCCGCCGATGAATAGGAATTATTTCCACGAAAAGGCACACTACACAGTACCTACACACAATCACCATTGTTAGGAAAAAACTGAGGAAAGTTTCCAGTTTCCACATGTACAAAAGTCTTGTCAACAAACCACTGTCAGTGGCTGTCAACCGTTGTTTTCATACTCTTTTGCGTTTGACAGTTTGACGCCAGAGAGAGAGGCTTTCAAATTGAAAAGGTCAATTAGAATTCACTAATTTGTTGTTGTAGTCCTTTTCCTTTGGTTTTTTGTGGTTTTCTGTGATTGTTCTGGAGTAAGAACATATTTTTGTCACGTGATCTAGGAGTTGATCAGAGTGAAAAATTAATACACGAATGATATGTTTATTCCAAAACAACAGTCAACTGTGACTTTACAACGTTCCGGGTTCCAATTTCTTTTTTTCACTTTTGTTTTTGGTCTTTCGTGTACTATAAATTAACTTCAATCCCTCCATACGACGAGGTCGTAGACCGAGTCGTTCTAATCACACGAGTTTTGCAGTCATGTTTAAACGCACGTATGATGTACAACGTTTTATCTACAAAGCGAAAAATAAGAATATTTTTTCAATTATTTTCGTTTATAAGTAAGACACTTTAAGTTTGACCAAACACGTTAACGTAATCTTCAAACGTAAACCCTATTTTTTACTATAGCGTCGAGTGATCGTCGGTACTCACAAATCAGTTTAAGCGTTGATTGAGGAAGTAGAGGAAGATGCCTAACCTCTATAGAAATAATCGTGGCTTGCGACAAAAATTATTCCCATCTTTCTCAAATGAATGCAGATACCATCTCCCGTCTTTTTTCGGCGACGGTTGTTGTCGGAAAACACATCATTGATTGGTGCTGCCACCAACAAATGTATGGCATTTTGTGTAAACAACGACCAATGGGCGAATGAGGGGGCATGAGCGGGATTGAGGGGTCTCAAAATATTTAAACAGCATTATGTAGAATCGTGTTTTTGTTGTTAAACAGCGTTGCCGGGTCTCAAGGAATTTCTCATCTTTTTGGGGAAAGTTAATCGATTTTATTGTGTGTATTTAGGGTGAGTTCGTTTTAGCCATCGCGGAGCGGATGAGACCAGACAGATTTTTTGATTACCTGACCCTGGAGTCATCTAGATGCTTGCCAATTTCCGAACGGTAGAGATTTGTTAAAGTTGTCCGTCGGAGTCAATCAGGCCTATAATGTATCCTCTCCTGTTATTTTAACAGTTGTGTTATACCTCTAAATCTATACCTGTCTCTATTTTTACGTGTAAAATAAATAGTGACAGATAACTTAACGTTGCTGTTAAAATAACAGAAAATGATACATCATAGGCCTGATTAACTATGGTCATTAATGACATACTTTGTCAATAGTTGATAGTTGGGTACTCGCCGCAAACGGCAACAATATGGAAATTAGTCGAATTTTTCCAGTGGTTATTAATTTTGCTAATGAAATATTCTTTGATGATGAAGAAGAACGCATGGAGGAACCGAAAGTTGTAAATTTTGTGGAACATGTTGTTCATTTCTTCAACGACCAACAATTCCGAAGACATTTCCGGATGAATCCATCAACGATGGAAAACTTACTCCAGAAAATTGGAACCATTGTACCAGAGGCTCCTGTTGTTAGGGGACACCCTAAGCTGCCATTAGAAAAGCAGCTTTTGCTAACAATATGGTACTTAGCAAATATAGAAAGTTTTCGGTAAGTCTTATCATATCAATAGTATTAGTTAATGTAGGTATCTATAATTACCTATTTGTAAAAATTTCAAGTTGTGCTTTTTTACTTGTAGCTCCAGTAGCTCAAAGATTCGATGTAACAAAATCTACAGCATGGGCAGTGTTAATGAGGATGGGTAAATTGATTTTGTTGGTG